TTATACTCTCTAATACCAGAGCTCTGTGTGCACGCTCTCCTGGGTGTCTATGTATACTCTGTAATACCAGAACTGTGTGTGCACTCTCTCCTAGTGGTCTTATACTCTCTAATACCAGAGCTCTGAGCACACTCCCTCCTGGTGGTTTATCTGTAATTCCCTGAGTACATACTATACTGAAAACAGTTATGTACTGCCGTGGGACAAACCACATGGGGCAGAAAATGGCCACAAACTTGAGGCTCTGAGCAAGGGAGACAAATGCCAAAGGAGGGGACCCCATCCATGCCGAGTTCTACACCAGGGACTTGAGGCTCAAACAGAATTAGAATGAGGCACCAGCCCCCCTCCACCCCAGCAAGGTTCTTCCCCTGGAGATGGGCTCTATGTTCCAAGTTTTTGCAGGTGGTAGAGGTGTTTCAAAACTGCCACTAGTATTCTCTCCAGGCACACAGCGTGGAGGGAGGTGTGGGCTGAGGCTGTTCTGCTGCCATGCAGAGCGAGCGTCTCTGTCCCGTGGGGTTCAGACGTCTGTACCGCTGACCAAGTGTCCTGGTGGTGTCTGCAAAACACATGTAAGAATGCCACTGTTCACAGTCTGTACTCGGTGACACTGAGGCCCGAGAGATCACTTCAGTGGGAGCAAGGAACAACTCCTCTGCCGAGACGCAGACAGACGCAGCGGGCCTGGCACTATCTGTGAGCCAGCAAGCACACACCATCCAGAAGGAAGGAGCAACCAGAGTACAGCCCCAAACAGTGAGCAGGAAAACGACGACCATTCGTTTTCTATAAAAAAGGTACTTTAATTTCTGTCCCCTAACAAGACTAAACATGATTTGGAAATGTGGTTGTACTAAAAACGGGCAGATGATGCGTCCACTCTATACCTTCTCCTTCGTCTGGTCACTCAGAAATATGATGTTATCTGTCAAAAGGCAAAGAGTAAGCATTAGATCCAGAGCTTTCTGCACCCAGGCAGGTGTGCCCCTGCCACACACACACTCATGGCTCCTCACTGAGGGGTTTCAGACACTCTTGAGATGCATCTCATGAAAATCCTTGCTACGTGCGTTCATGTATGTAGTAGGCACCAAAGCAGTCAGGAGTTGGGCTACAAGAATTCTGGTTTCACTGGGTGAGGACCTGCCCTTAAAGTCTCAGCCACACCTTCCTGCCAAAGACCTGGTCCCAGCATGCTGAAGCCGGTAGGTACCACAGCAGCACCCGGACAGGCCCAAGAGCACCCTCCCATGCTCTGGAGATCCAGCAGGAAGGGCCACAGTCAGTGTGTCCCCACATCAATGACAGACCGTCTTCACTTACGTGTTTCAGTGTAAAATCTCACTCAAGAAATGACCAATTTTCAACTTTAAAATAGAATGACTTCATATACTCAGTCTTGGGGAACTTTTACTAATCGGTTTTACAGAACAAACAATTCCAACAAAGAACATCAGATATTGTGCTTAAAACGTTGTCCCAGGGGGACTTTCTATATGATGAGCAAAAGCAGTGTTTCCTGCGCATATCCAAATATCTAGATTCTGAGCAACTGAAAATTATTGAAGATGTGGATGACGATCTAGTCACGTCTACGGTCTCCTGGGAGAAGAGTCGGCTGGTGCACAAGGTGGTCAGTATCTCCAGGGTATGACAGGGTCTCAGCTTTAGATCACCGTCTCCTGGGAGAAGAGTCGGCTAGTCCAGACAAGTGCAGGACTGAGTATCTGTTCTATCTACAGTCCTCTAGAAGACTCCACTGGTATACTGGGGGCAGTACTACAGTGCAGGACAGGGGGGTCTGCTCAGGACTAGTCTTCTGGAAGAATATATGATTCTTATAGAAAATGATTATTGCTGTTAACTGCCATCCAGTTGGTTCAGATTTATAGCGACCCTATACGGAGTCCGAGGAGCAGATGGTGGGTTTGAACTGCCAACCTTGGGGTAAGCAACTCAGTGCTTATCCTACAGCGCCACCCCAGGACCCCAGAAAATAACTGCTGTTTTTCAGTGCCATCGAGTCAGGTCCAAGTTACAACAACTCTGTACAGGGTTTCTGAGAATCAGCTAGTGTGGCCCGCCGTCCTGGTTCCTGTCCACCATCTCCTGACTAGACCGTCTGCCAGGATAGAAGGGTCGCTTCCGAGCAGAGCTTTCCATGAGCAGCACAGATAAGGAGGCAAGTGTGACATCCACTGGTGAAGAGTTCAAAGTCCAGACACAATCCCTTTAAGGACACTGAAGACCAGGAAACACGGCTACCAAATTCAATTCCATTTTCTTCAGTGTAAGTGTCACCTAAGACCTGTTCACCATTAGCCATACACCTGTAGGGACTGCTCACTTACCCACATGAGTGAACACTGGGAAGAAGACAAACACAAGATGGCAGATAACCTGGAACATTTCTGCTCGGCTTTATCCGTAACAACTCTCCACTCTGACCACACACTCACTTTACAGTGGATTAAGACAGAGCAAAGGACTTTATTTACAAATCAAGTTCAGAGATTTAGAAATACCAACTATCTGGTTAGAGAGCAGGCCTTCCCACAGCTGAAATCACAGGGGTGGGTCCACGCCCGCTAGCGGTCTGGAGACCCAGCTATTTCAAGCTGTTATCTCAGCGGAGGTGGCTCAAATGACGGACCTGGTAGCAAAAACGGATGTCATCTTACAACACTCAAGAATTACAAAAGCAAAATCGCCAGAAGAACCAGCATAAGGTCTGCTAATGAGGGGCAGGAAGATACCTATGTTGGTTTTCAATGTCAATACACATTCAAAGAAATGAACTGATCACAAAGAAAATACATATGACATCCTGGTGTGGTGCTACAGGATAAGCACTGGGCTACTAATTGTAAGAACGGCGGTTTAAACCCACCAGTTGTTCCTCGGAAACCCTATTCAGGGTTGTTAGGAGTTGGACTGACTTGACTGCTCCGATTTCTCAACTGGCATAGTGAATAAGACGTGCTCTCTGGAGTAAAGGGCAAGAGAAAGGGGGATCTCTACATGAGAGAGACCTAGGACCCTCTGTCAACCAGTGTAATCCGTGAAGTAACGAGGGGAATGTGAACACTACCCTGGTGTGGCGCTGGAGGGGCAACACTGGACTGCAAGGTCAGCAGTTCAAACCCACCAGTTGCTCCTCAGAAAATCCGACAGGGTCGTTAAGAGTCGGAACCGACTCGATGGCATTTCACAACAGCGGTGGCCAAGATGACGGCGTTTTCCAGGACTAGTGTGGTAACAGCACTGTGGTCCTGCTTCACATGACACCGAGTGACACCGGTGTGGGCGAATGGTCAGAGGTCCAGGTGGCGTGGACTCTGGTGACACAGCATGGGGGGCTGCTGCTCTGATCACTGTCCCTTCTCTGCTTTGTGGACGTGTGACACTTCCCACCCACACCAGGGCATCATTCACTGCGGCGGGTCTCAGAACACCGGAACACTGAGACACTGGTGTAAGAAGTTCCATCGAACCCCATCTACTAATTTATGCAAACAAAGTTTTGTGGTTTCTGTTCAGAAAAACAAAGACATAGAACTGAGGCTTCATGTGGTCTTATGTTAGCAATTTATCCCAGAGGTGAAAACAGCACCATTCACCTTATCAAAAGACGTACTTCCGATAAACAGCAAGGCTCTGGTCATCTGTGTGCTAGAAACAACTTCACTGAGGAGAAATACCATTTAGAGACTTAACTGTCACAGAACTGTTTTAAAAATAGTTCAAACATTCTACTTGAGTATATAGTTCTGTTACAATTGGATGAATAAGAGTCAATCATACAAAACATTAAGAGCCTTCTGGGGGAACGTGGAATGGAAAAACAAGTTCATATAAACAACAATGTGTAATTTCCAAATACCAAAGAAGAGCTAGTTCATGTTTTTGTTTTTTACAAGATGACAGATAGCAAATGGATATTCACAATCCATTAACAATTTAAGAGAGATAGTACTCTCACACTGGGCAAATTTTTAACAACCCCTGAGAGATGGGCACATTGTTCTCAAAGACTTTCGTGACAGATTTGCAAGGTTAAAGACTCAGCTCCAAGGGACATTTTCTCACCCGTCTTTAAACTTTACACACCTTTCTTTTCTCTGTTGCGTTGGTTTCCGCTTATAGAAAGCAACACAAAATGTCAAAACAATCGGTGTGTTAAGGACCGAAGAGGTTGCAGACCCATCGGCCTGGAACTCCTCCCTCAAGAAAAGATGATCTGCGGGAAGCGGAGCCAGCCGCTGCTGCCAGCTCTGGGGGGAAGAGGAGGACAGTCACAGCTGCTCACCTGCTATGATGGTCGTTGCCTGTCGTCTCACATTATTTTTATCCATGTATTCACCGTAGTCTACTTTCCCTTCCACATACACTCGAGACCTGAGTCAACAAAACATGCAGTTGTTAAGTGTGGAGACCCTGACGCACTTCGTAGGGGTCTGACGGCAGGCCAGGGCGGGCCACATCCACTTCTTCACGCTCAGTCAGCTGACCCACAGAGCAGGAAGGATCTGTGGGAGCCCGTTTTAATAAAACACTCCAGCCAAAATCAAAAGGAAGAACAAAAAAAGGACGCAAGCCAATGACCGTGAGGACTGAAGGCTAGTCTAGCTGCGCCCTTTCTGTGACCTAGGAATGGTGTCCAGTGGTCCTTTCCTTCCACCGTGACTTACGACTCCCTAGATGGATTGGTTTTCACGGGTTTATCCGTTTCTGTCTATCCGGACGCTCAGACTTTTCTCGTCTTGTTGTTAAAGTGCTGTTGAGCCAACTCCAAATCATAGCAGCCCTGTTTAGGCTTTGCAAGGCGTAGCTGGTGGGTTTGAACTGCTAACATTTCGTTAGCAGTCCAGTGCTTACCTCACAGCACCACAAACATTCACAACGGAAATTTTTAGCTTAGTGCATAATTTAGAGAGGTTCTGGTGTGGCACTGTAAGATCAGCACTGGCCTGTAAACCACGAGGTTGGCAGTTCAAACTCACCAGCCGCCCCTCGGAAACCCTATGCAGGGTCACAATGAATTGGAACCGACTCGACGGTACTTAACAACTACTGGGTATGCTGCGCTGCCTGCCGGGAAGCTACAAGAGCAAAGCGCTGCAGTCACACCTGTTTCAGAGTCCCCGGTCCCCCAGGAGCACGACCAGGAAGCAAACGAAACCAGTGAAGTGATGAGGGCGGCGGAACAGGCCCTGTCACCGTCAGAAACCTCCTCCATCCGCACGCTGTCAGGTGCCCTAGACTCAGTTCCGACACTCATCGACCGTGTGCAAGCTGCTGGGTGTGAAGCGCCTTCAGCACCACACCAGGACTCCTCTACATGCATGCACATGCACACACATGAAAGGCGGGAGGTGTGCGCTAAGAGAAGCACGCACTTGCCCGAGAGAGAGAGAGCTGGTCATCACTACTGAGAGTTGTGGTCAGGAAGTAGGTTTTGTTCATCTGTGCAAGTCCAGACATTCCTACACACCAAGCACTCCAAATGGGAGCCACCAAGTCTACGGGGGGTTACCAAGCATGGGGTAATGGGGTCACAGCTTGGATACGACTGTTACTCAGTCGCCAGGCTCCCTGCCGAGGTCCTGTGTGGACACCTGGGGACAAGGCACCCCTCAGCACCCCAAGAGCAGCCCTTAGGTCGCTTAGTCGGCTCGTCATGCATTTCAGCTTCTCTTCGGCCTCATCGGCCCCACTTACGCACACACCTTATTGTTCTACATGACAGGGCACATCACCACATGCCCCTGAACCACCACAGGACAGCGACACGACTCGGGTAGGAGGCCACTTGCTCCTCACCATGAGAACCCACCAGCAGCTCGGAAGCCATCCAGTCTGTGAACGCATTCTTCTCCTTCCTCTACTTACCCTTTCTTCACGTACTGATAGGCGACGTCTCGGAGGCCTGGCCGGAAGACGGATATCCTGTGCCACGTAGTCTTCTGACTGACGTCACCTACGTCACGAGGGAAGGAGACAATGTCACAGACCAAGGCAACGACAACATGCCAGCACCAGACCGTCAGGTTCACAACCGACAAAAACGACACCTACTGTCACCGACAGAGACCAAGGCCAGGCTCTGACACTCACCTGTCTGGTACACTTCACTGTCCCCTGACCGCCACATCTCGTTAGTTGCTAGAGAAAATATGGTGACTGGGTTTTTTCCTTCCACCTGCCTCATGACAGGGTCCTGACCCACTCGGCCAAGTAACTGCACGCGGTTCAGAGCTGAAACACAATGTGGACACAGAATGAGGGCAAGAAGCCGATGCCGGACACTGGGAGAAACGCCCAGCAGCTAACAGCCACAAACACTCCCCAACAGCAGCCTGTGTGTTACCTCCGAGCAGGCAGGGAGAGGCAATGGCTAAGAGGGAAAGCAGGCTGGCCAACGAGCAAAGTATTTACAGAAAGCACCCCAAAAACAGACTCAGCTGTTTAAGTTCCTACTTGAAGAGCAGTTCATTATTACGGCCCTTCTGACTAAATTCCGCCTTGCTGTGAGGAAACGCCTGTGATTATAGACTGATTTTGAATTGAGCTGTTGATGAAGGATTAAGGTGGGACTATGGAGTCCTGGGGTGGCGCTGTGGGTTAATGTGCCAGACTGCAAAGCCGTCTGAACTGCAAGGTCAGCAGTTCAAGTTCACCCGCTGCTCCTCGGAAATCCTATATAGGGTCGCTATGGGTCGGAATTGACTCAACAGCACTTGACAACAAGGGAGTTCTGGTAGTGGAGTGGCTACAAGTCGGGCTGCTAACCTCAAGGCCACAAGTTCAAAACTACTAGCCGTTCCACAAGAGAAAAATGAGGCTTTCTGTTCCTCAAGAGGCTCTGGTAGCATAGTGGTTACGAATCTGGCTGCTAAGTCTCACGGTCAGCAGTTCGAAACTACCAGCTGTTACGTGGGAGAAAGATGAGGCTTTCTGCTCCCATATAGATTTACAACCTCAGAAACCCTGTACAGGGTCACTATGAGTCGGAACCGATTCCATGGCACACAACAACAACAAAGATAGGTAGCCTCAGGAACATGATGCAGGGTTACTGTGAGTCAGAACCACACACCACCACCAACAACAACAACAAGGTTCTGGGGTGGCACTGTACATTAAGCACTGGACAAAAAGGTCAGTTGAACCACAAGGTCAGTGGTTCAACCTCACCAGCCACTCCTATGGACCAGAACTGACTGGATGACACTTTACAAAAGGATTAAAGTGGAACTAGGATTAAAGATGCCCCCACCTGACTAGAGGGTGGGACTCAAATCAGCACTTGTTTTCTCTGGGGGTGTGGTCTTAGTGCAGTCTGCAGGGCACTGTGGCTGAGGGCCCCCTCTTGCTCTGGGCCCTCATCTGGCTCACCTCAGTCCAACCTCCACATCATACGGCCTGAAGCCCCTCTCCTGACCTGACCCCCCAGCATCATAGCCTGTCATCTGACCTGCCAATTGGGGTCCTCGGCTCCGGAGACTACATGGGGGAGGAGAGAGTTTCCATGGCAGCCACGAGTCTCAGCACCCGGGTGACCCTCATGCTGGAAAGTGGGACGTGTGGGAGATCTTTAACCTCCACCTCACAGGGACCAGCTCAAATTGGTCTAAAACATGTTGTTAGGTGCCATCGAGTCGGTACCGACTCATAACCTTATGCACAGCAAAACGAAACCCTACCCGATCCTGGGCCAACCTCACTACTGTTGCCACGCTTGAGTCCATCAATGTTGCCACCTGGCCAATCCATCTCGTTAGGGGTCTTTCTGTTTTTCTCTGAAAAGCCCACCTTATCAAACATGATATCCTTCTCCAGCGACTGGTCCCTCCTTACAATATGTCTGAAGTATGAGAGACGAAGTTTGGCCATCCTGGCCTCCAAGGAACACTCTGGCCGCACTTCTTCCAACACAGATCTGTTGGTTCTTTTGGCAGCCCATGGCACTTTCAACATTCTCCTCCAACACTGTAACTTAAAAGCATCAAATCTTCTACGGTCTTCCTTATTCACTGTCCAGCTTTTGCAACCATATGAGGTTACTGAAAACACCATGGCCTGGGTGAGGCGCACCTTAGTCCTCAAGCTGCCATCTCTGCTCTTCAATACTTTAAAAAGTTCCTGTGCAGCAGATTTGCCCAATGCAATACGTTGTTTGATTTCTTGACCGCTGCTTCCATGAGTGTTGATAGTTGATCCAAGAAGAATGAAGTCCTTGACAACTTCAATCTTGTCTCCATTGATAAGAATGTTGTTTATTGGTCCAGTGGCGAGGATTTTTGGTTTCTTTTTACATTGAGATGTAATCCATACTGAAGGGTGTGATCTTTGATCTTCACCAGTAAATGTTTTAAGTCGTCTTCACTTTCAGCAAGCAATATACCGATGCACTATTTAAATTATTTTTTCTTTTTACTGCCTATATAGTTCAAAAGGAGCTCTGGTAGCGTAGTGGTTACGAATCGGGCTGCGAACCTAAAGGTCAAGTGGTTCGAAACTACCAGCCGCTCCGCGGGAGAAAGATAAGGCTTTCTACTCCCGTAAGGATTTACACCCTCGGAAACCCTGTACAGGGTCGCTATGGGTCGGAACCGACTCGACGGCACTTAACAACAACAAATATAGTTCAAAGAGCACTTCTGAAACATGAAAATCCATACAAATAAAAGGATTTCTCTGTGGAAAAACTAGCTTCACTCTTCCAGCCTAACAGCACACGACCTTAGAAAAACAGAGATCCACAAACATGACCCAGTATAAGGGAAGAGGGCTGATTTGTTCCAGTTCCTACAGCCTGGGGGGAAGGTCGGGAGCCGAGGGGCAAAGAGGAGCCACCGAGCAAAGAGGAGCCACCAGGAGACGGTGGCTCAGCAGTGCCCTCCTTGGCTGACACAGTGACAACAGCACGTCCCCACAAATCACTTCATATCAGATTGTCTGCACCTGTCATCAGGTGGGACCAGTCCCTGGAGAAGGCCATCATGCTCAGTTAAGTGGAGGGTCAGCGAGAAAGAGGAAGACCCCCTAAGAGATGGACTGACACAGTGGCTGCAACAAAAGCTCCAGCGTAGCAACGACTGCGCGGAGGCCACAGGCCCAGGCACGGAGCCCACAGGCCCAGGCGCGGTTCCCTCTGTTGTACACGGAGTCGCTGAGCTGGATCCAATTTGCCAGCACCAAACACACAGCTTCCTTTAAATGCAGGAATTATTAGCTACTTACATCGTTCCAGAACCAGACTGGCAGCCGTTTCGGACTCATGTCTCACACACTGACGGACCACCTGAAGGGGGACAATGAAGGAGGCGGCTTTGCCTTTTCAGCAGATACAAACACAAAGAAGCCCACCCAGGAGCGCCCTCAGCTCACGCAGGAAGGAAGAGGGTGGTTGCTCTTCCCCATCAAACACTTCAGGGCCCACAGGAGACCCCAGTGAGCACAGCCAAGAGGACAGCCCTGGCCGCGTCTTCCAGGGAGCTCCCCCGATGGGGTTCTCGTACACAAAGATGCACAAACATAACATCACTGTCCTGTGGAGAGCTGGACCCAGAGCTGTTGTTGTGTACCGGAGTCCATTCCGACTCAGAGACCCTGACCAGGGTTTCCAAGAGCAGCGGGTAGGTTTGAACTGCTGACCTTGTGGTTAGGAGTCTACATCTTATTCTGCAGCACCAACACAGGGTTACTAACTAGGAATATGTGCAGACAAGGACAGAAACATGCAGAGGGTGCTAGATGTATTCAACAGAGTTGGTGCTGAGTGCCACTGAGTTGGTACAGACCCTGTATGAGGATTCCGAGAGCAGCTGGTGGGTTAGAACCGCCAACCCTGCAGTTAGCAGTCCAGTGCTTATCCTACAGTGCCACACCAGGACTCCAACCTTTTCTCTGAAACGTAAACACGAGCATGTATTACTCGATCTTAGTTAGAAATTAAGAAATTTTTATTTGAACTAAAGCAGGTTCCGCCTCTTCAGTCTTTAAAACAAAGGAGTGTAGAGGGAAAGCAATGCTTTGTAAGGAACGGCTCCCACCACACAGAGGGAGCTGAAGCCACTGTCCCAACACGGGATGGACATGGGAGAAGTTCGCTGTCATTACCTAAGCCTCGGTCCAGCCCAACAGAAGCGCTTCCAAAGGCCCACACAGCGGTCACTTCGCCCAGGCTGGCCCTGCCCAGGAACCGGTCAGGCTCCCAGGGAGGACGCCTGGAAACTCAACAAACTGCTCTGTGGGTCCCTGCAGCTCCTTCAGAAACGCCTAAGGACTGAGGGGAGACCTCACATACAACTGGCCTGCCGTGCTTCATGTAAGGATGAGCAAACCGAGGACAGGGGCTGGCTCCCGCACAAGTGTACGAGTTCCCTTGGTATTTGTAGGGATCACGCACGCTTTTACCAGGACATGGAAACCGAGCCTAAGATGAACAAATTAGGAGCTCTGACAAAATCCAGGGATAAGGATGCCTGAGTCCAGCTGTCAACCGGGAATTGCTGTCCCATGTGAGGAGGGAAAGCCTTGCGGACAGAATCCATGAGCTTTCATTCCATTTCCACAAGCTTTGTGAAGGCCCCTAGCAACTGAAGTACTTAACTGAGATCTGTACTCATCACCAGCTAAAGCTTTACCCATTATCAATTCACCCAAAGAGTAAATCCACACAAAAATCAAAGCCAAACCAGAGTCCATTCCAGCACGTCGTGAACCTACAGAACAGTGTACAACTGAGACTAAATCTTTATGAAACTACTTCTCCTTTCTCCTGTGGAATGGCTGGTGGGTTTGAACACATGACCTTGTTAGCAGTCCAAAGCTTCCCCGGTTGTGCCATCAGGGCTCCTATAAATCTGTGCTCTGTAACATTAGCCCTCAGAGAAACAGGGACACTGACACTCAGAGAGACTGACTACCTTGCCTAGATCCTGCAAGCCAGTCAGTCACGACTCGAACCCAGGGCCCTGTGGCGGCCCTCCTGGAAGGCACAACTGCGGCTGCCCAGCACTCTGGGCCACCTCTGGAAGGACAGCCCGAGCCTGGGCTGCCACCCAGAGCTGAGTCCACGGCACTGCACTCAGAGTGCAGAAAAGGAGCCTTTACATCAGAGAAAATCCATCCAAGTGGCCGTCTAGTAACACAGATAGCAAAACCCTACCAGTCAACCATACACCCATTCTAGAATGTGGCTGATTATATTTCTGGGCAAATAGAGGAACATATGCCATTACAACACGCAGCTGAATCTAAGAGGCGCCTGGGCCAAGGCCCTAGGGATGTGCTCACTGGGACATGTGCCCTTTCAGCTACTCAAGAACCAAGGCTTAGTGGAAAAGCACAAATCGACAAAGGATATTTTAACTTGGATAATTCTTTTTTTAATTTAGAATTTTACCTTTTCCATTAGGTTTTAATGGACTCCTGGTGTGGTACTAGGGTGAGCACTAGACTGCAAACCACAAGGTCGGCGGTTCAAACCCACCAGCCACTCCTCGGAACTCCTATACCCCAGGGTTGCTGTGAGTCGGCACTGACTCGAGGGCACTTCCCATCAGGTTTAAAGTCAACTTCCTGCTGTCTAGGCAGCAGTTCATTTTTTAACAGATTGTTTTTGTCAAGTGCCATTGAGTCGGTTCTGACCCATAGCGACCCTGTACAGGGTTTCCAAGGCTGTAAATCTTTACGGGAGCAGAAAGCCTCACCTTTCTCCCACGGAGCGGCTGGTAGTTTCGAACTGCTGACCTTGAAGTTAGTAGCCCAACTCGTAACCACTACGCTACCAAAGCTCCTGGGAAGGCCTATACCAGATAAAGTGGGGACTCACAAATGCAGGTGATTTCGACAGGAGAGGAAGGAAGAGGAGGAAAGGTTTCACAGAGGAATGGATTCTTGATACATCTAAACAGGGTGAGGGGCAGGAGAAGAGAGGTGCTCAAGGTTAGAATTCACAGGACTTGGTGCACACGTGCGTTAAGTGAAGGAAAGGGGACAGTCTATGACGGTGCCAGACTGTCCAGGAAGAACAGACCAAACACTGACTATGTACAGGCGCTGAGCTGGCAGTAGCTCTCCTCAGTGTCAGGGGACAAGGCGGTGGGGACACCAAGTGGATGGTCAGGGCAGGAACCATAGGCCCTCTTTCTGAAGCTCAACAAAACTGTCTTCAGGTCACTAAAGACCTCAGGGATTTCCTAGCGAATCTATGAGGAGTCCTGGTGGGACAGTGGTTACGCACTGGGCTGCTAACTGCAAGGTCAGCAGTTCGAACCCAGCAGCTGCTTCACAGGTGAGAGCTGAGGCTGTCTGCACCCACAGAGATTTCCATGCCCAGAAACGCCATGAAGCACTTCCACTCCGTCCTATCGGGTCATTCTGAGACGGAATCGACTCTATGCCAGTGGGTTTTGGGCAAGGGCATCACAGACGGACACCAGGCTTGGCAGAGGACAGTCAGCGACAACCAGCAAGATCCCAAAGGCGGGCCCCCGGCAGCAGCAGCGATTCCTGGGCTTGTCACCGGGTCCACTCGGCACAAACAGCAGCTTCTGGACGCACGTTTTCTCCCATCAGGGAACGGATGCCCGCCGGGCGCGGGAAACCTCTCCAGGTTCATGTTCCCTTTTAACGGTCCTTCCCCGTCCCTCCAGGTGATAAGGACACATGGGGTGGGGGGCTCAGAGGTCTCGGTGGCCCTGAAGCCAAGATCCTGAAGACACCCCGCCCCCCCCCACCCCCGTTACTGGCTGGACCCAGACCCCCGCGCCCCCCGCGCCGGTGTGGGCAGTGACTACCTGCAGTACAGGTCTTCGGAACATGGCTCCGCTAGGTCCGTCCTTTCCTGAAGAAGAAGAAAACGGCCAAGTCAGCCCCTCGGGCAGCAAGCGTACCCGCCTCACTTCCTACACGTGCAGGATGGCCGGCCCCCCAGGGCCCGCCTGGGTAACCCCGGGCTCCTCCCGCTGCCCGGCCGCCGTCTTCCCACCGCTCGATGAGCGCAAGCTCCCGGCAGGCAGGCTCCAGCGGTGGGTGCAGTCGCCGTACCGTCAGGACCTCACCCCGGAACCTGCTGCTGTTGCACAAGCGCTGCCTCCCATCCCGAGAGCGAGGACCCGGAGGGCCGGAGACCCCAGCAGCCCCCGCGCGGAACACTCGCGCCCGGATCTCCGACTCACCTGAGGCCGCTGCCCCGAAAGCACCGGCTGGCAACACTTCCGGGCGCACCGCGACGCAGGCCCTGGGGCGTGGGGAGGAAGCGGAAGTAGGGCATGCACCGCCTGAGGCGTAGAAAAGCAGCCGTGCGGCCCCGCTGGAAATACGACCCTGACTCGAGAGTTCCGGAGGGCTTCTTTCCGGCCGCAACGCGCTGAGATTGGTGTGTTTCTTTGATGACGTTTGTAGTCCCGCCCACGAGGGTGAGTGAAACCTACGATAGCTCCTCCCAGGCTAAATGCCTATGGCTCAATCCTCGGAAACCAAATGCCAGACCAGTTGATGTCAATGCTTTCTGAGTCAGTGACCCTGTAAAATAGAGGGCTTCCCCGTTCGATTTCCAAGGCTGTAAATCTTTACAGATTTAAGCTTCGTCTCTCATACTTTGGACATGTTGTCCGGAGGGAACAGTCGATGGAGAAGGATGTCATGCTGGGTAAGGTGGAGGGTCAGAGAAAAAGGGGAAGAGCCCTAACAAGATGGATTGGCCAGGTGGCATCATTGATGGACTCAAGTGTGGCAGCGGTAGTGAGGTTGGCCCAGGATTGGACATTGTTTCGTTCTGCTGTGCATGGGGTCGTTATGAGTCGGTTCCGACTCGATGGCACCTGACAACAACAACAACAAATCTTTACAGAAGCAGACTGCCTCATCTTTCTTCTTCAGAGAGACGGGTGGGTTCGAACACCGACCTTGTGAGTTGCAGCGGATCGTTTGAACCACTGTGCTTAGAAAATCCTGAGGCACTTCTACTGTCCCATCGGTTCCCCATGAGTAGAATTTGAAGTATTGAAGAGTTGTTGTTGTTGTTATGTGCCGTGGAGTCGTTCTGACTCATAGCGACCCTGTACAGGGTTTCCGAGGCTGTAAATCTTTACGGGAGCAGAAAGCCTCATCTTTCTTCTGCGGAAAGGCTGGTAGTTTCGAACTGCCGACCTTGAGGTTAGCAGCCCGATTCGTAACTACTACATTACCAGAGCTCTTTGTTGCTGTTGTTGTGAAGTGCCATCGAATCTGTTCTGACCCATAGCGACCCTGTACAGGGTTTCCGAGACTGTAAATCTTTACCGGAGCAGAACGCCTCATCTTTCTCCTATGGAACAGCTAGTAGTTTCGAACTGCTGACCTTGCGGCTCGCAGCCCGATTCATAACCACTACGCTACCAGAGCTCCTTTAGAGCTCCTTAGGTGTATGCAAATTTATGACATTAAATTTTAATATTTCTACTAAAAACAATTTATTATAATTTTACTTTCTTGGTTTTGATAAAAGTAAACTCATCAACAATATTTTCAAAATCTACATCTTTGCCTTTATTTTTTGTTAAGCTTTTACTGTGAATTGAGTGATAGTTTACATGGCAGAATATCAGTTTTACACTCATTGTTTTTCATTTCATTGCAATGATTACAATCCTTTCCATGCATCATCATTCAACAGTATTTATTTCTATTCCCTCCGTGTTTGTTTGTTTGTTTGTTTTAAATGTACACAGAAACACTCAGGAATATATAATCATTCACACAGCCAAAGGGCACATTCTGCAAGCCTGCCTCCTGGCTGCCAGCACACAGCCTTTCTCTTTCCATGAGTCTAGAGTCCACAGCTTCTCTATCTCTCCATGTCATCATCTCTGTCTTTGCTTTAAAAATATATATATATGTATATATATTATAAAACATACATCTTTGCTTAGGGAGTTCTGGGTAGCATAGTGGTTACGAGTTGGGCTCCTAACCTCAAAGTCAGCAGTTCAAAACTAACAGCTGTTCCACGGGTAAAGGATGAGGCTTTCTGCTCCTGTAAAGATTTACAGCCTCGGAAACCCTATGCCAGGTTGCTAAGACTTGAACCGACTCCACAGCACAGCACCACCACATTGCTGCTTAGTTTGTTTTCAGTTGATAGAATGTCCATGTCTGGCCATTTTTTGTGAGCAACCAGCATTCTTAGTTTTTCACTAATTTGACCTTACTGACCTGTCTTCATTTTAATTTCTTCTATTTTGTTTATCGTGGATATTTTAATTCATTTTTATCTAATTTAAATTTTTTTTTTTTTTAGCTGATGTTACTTTTTATTGAATAATATAAGAACAGAATAGGTGCAACGTGAGCTGAGTGCATTTGGAAAGCAATGAAAAGGAGATTAGAGACACTTAGCTGTTCCAGAATCATTCAAGATGCCTTCACTTTTCTTCTGGTGATGGCACACTAAAGGGACTTCACCAAGGCCTTGCCATGGCGGAACCATCACTCTAAATGCTAAGATGCCCAGCAAGGGTAACTGTGCTCTCAAGGGGCGTGGTAAGAGGCGGTTCCTGCTGCAACCTGCTTTGCAACCCTCTATGCATTCTGGGAGAAAGATGAGGCTTTCTGCTCCCATAAAGATTGACAGCCTCGAAACGCTATGAGTCAGAACCAACTCCACGGCACATAACAACATGCATTCTGGCAGCTGGATTTGATCAAAGAGGTTGTCCCCATCCAAGGAACAGTATACACCTGGAAAGAGCACAGGGCTTTCTTCTTCAACTGTGGCTGATCATGGAAGGGACAAGTGGTCAAATTGGGCTGAGCCTTGGTACATGTGGTTTGTCCAAAACCCACATCTAAGTAGTACTTCACTCCAAACAGGATCTGCTTGCCGGCAAGCACCAACTGCCTCAGGCGACTATGGAACTTGTCATTGCTCACTTTGTTGTACTTGCTAATAACGAAGTCCAGCGCTCACTTCATGCCCTGCCCTGCTTGTTCTGGTCCGCGTCTATGATGCCGCCCATTAGGGGCGGGAGCCGGGGATTTGCAGTGCGGCCAGCAGGAGCAGAGAGGCACGCAGAGGCGCGGCCATGTCGACTGGGCTAATTTAAACATTTTAAAAATTGCATTAAAATATTATTAATCTTGACGCTATTGGAGCACAAGCTGTGCATGACCGAGGAAACCAGGTGGGAGGGGGCTACCCAGATTTCTCATCTCCCTTTCCTAGACTGTGCCGGCTCCCTCCAGGTCACACACTCAACTCCTGCTGCTTTCTTGTTGTTCAGTGACCTTTGAGTCGGTTTTGACTCTTTGTGACCCTGTGTAGGATTTCCGAGGAGCAGCTGGTGAGCCTGAACCACCGACCTTGTGGTTCAAACCAACCTTGCAATCCAGTGATTATCCTACAGCGCCAAGCCAGGAACCTAAAGCCTACAGCCTGGGATATTCCCAGGCGGTCTCCCATCTAAATTCTAACCAGGTCCCAGCCTACGTAGCTTCTGAGAACAGAGGAGATCAGGCGTATTCAGTGTGGTATGGGTGCAGACTTAAAACCCTTCGATTGCTCATCCATGCACTTAAATTCTAAAGTACTTAACATGATCTTGCAAGGTACACCTTAACCTGCTTCTGAAAATCGAGCTCACTACCTGATATATTTCTGGAAGCCTGTCTTCAATTTTGGCGTCCTGGTGTGGCACTGTGGGTTAATGCACTGGTCTGCAAAGTCAGTTTGAACTGTGAGGCCAGAGATTCAAGCCCGCCAGCTGCTCCTAGGAAACCCTATACAGGATCGCTATTGGTCGGAACCGACTCAACAGCACTTAACAACAATCTTCAATTTTGATGGAGTTCCTGGGTGGGACAAAGGGTTAAGTGCTTCACTACTAATCAAAAGGTTGACAGTTGTCTCACCCAGAGACGCCTTGGGAGACAGGTCTGGTGACCTGCTTCTAAAAATCACAACCGTATAAACCCTTTGGAGCAGTTCTGCTCTGCATACATGGAGCCAAGTCTAAATGGACTCAATGGAAATGAGGAATGTCACCATTCTACGCCCACCTTCACAATGTTTAGTTCCTGAAACACGTGTCACACTGCCTTCAAGTTTGCACACAAGACTAACCATCCCCCAACCCGTCCTCTCTGTTACTGCCAATGCTGTCCAAGGATTTCCGGATAAAAAGTATTTCCAAGCAGACCTCAGAGACATTGCAGACTAAATTCCAAATAAAACTAATTCATTTCCCAGTGCATATAGGAGTACTGGTGTGGCGCTGTGGGTAAATGTGCTGGACTGCAAAGTCCGTTTGAACTGCAAGGTCAGCGGTTCAAACTCACCAACTGTTGCTCAGAAACCCTATACAGGGTCGCTATGGGTCAGAATTGACTCAACGGCACTTAACAAATGCATATAAAAGTTCTGTTTATACTACACTGTAGTCTCTTTAAAGCATGCAATAGCATGATGGAAACATTTGAGAATTACCAAAATGTGGCACAGAAGCATGAAATGAGTACATGGTGTTGGGAAAATGTCATGCATAGACTAGCCTGTTGCTGGGTTGCCACAAAGTTACAATTTGTAAAAACCAGTAATAGCTGTAAAGCACAGTAAAATGAGACTTACAATGTAATATTATTCAGCCAGGGAGAGAAAAGGAGTTCTAGTGCATTCTGCAATGTGGATGAACCCTAAAACATGATGCCAAGAGAAAGAAACCAGACACCAAAGGACAATGATGTATGTTAGCAGTAACATGGAATCTCTAGAACAAACCAAGGCTCAGGGAGAGATGTGTATTAGTGTTTACCAGCGGCTGGAGGGAGTGGGAGTCCTTGCTTA